CATTAATTAAGAAAATTAAAATAAAATAAAAAACCGAATAAAATTTAAGTTTTAAAACTATCGCCATAATCAGCAGAATTTTTCCTATTCGAACAACCAATTTTAAAACTAGTTAAATAACTAAAAAACAATTATTATGTAAAAGAACAGTGAGCTGAACGAAATCGGCCAACTCTCATGCAACTTATAATAACAATAATAATTATAATAGTAATAATAATAATAATAGTAATAATAATAATAATAGTAATAATAATAATAATAGTAATAATAATAATAATAATAATAGTAATAATAATAAATACAGTGCTACCAATAGTATAAGCAATAGTAGTGAAACAGTAATTTTAGTAATAAAACTAATAGTAGTAATAGTAGTAGTAGTAGTAGTAGTAGTAGTAGTAGCAGTAGTAGTAGTAGTAGTAGTAGTAGTAGTAGTAATGGTAGTAGTAACTGTATAGTAGCAGTAGTACTGGTCAGCAGCAATAGTAGTAATAGTAGTAGTAGTAGTAGTAATAGTAGTTGTAGTAATAGTAGTAGTAGTAGCAGCATTATATTAGCAGTAGTAGTGGTAGTAGTAACGACAACAGTGTTTTTGTGGCTATGATTAACTAATATACTTTCATAGGCACGAACAATTAATAAAAAAATGTAATGATTTCATGTCAACGTGTTTGTATTCTTGTTTGAATGTGCACATGTGTATGAGTGTGGCATTGTGTGCGCGTGTATATAAGCGTGTATATATATATATGTGCGTGTGTTTGCGCGAGTATGTATGTGTGTGATACTCTGTGCATAAACGTAGTTGTACGTGTATGCCTGTAAATGTTTGTACATTGTACATCTATATAATGTACCATATAGAAGTGTATGGTTTGTACATTAATGTTTCTGTACACAAACTCATGAATATTCATTTTGTTTACTAAGTTTTTATTAATGTGCGTGCGTGTGCAACTGAATTGCATGTGTGTATTTGCTTAGTTTTCATAACGAGTTGTATAAATTGAAAATGGAAGAATTGTTCTTGTTGATTCTAGGTGGAAGTGAGAAATAATTTGAATCAGTCAAATAATAATCACTTGCAATCGCAATTATCCGATGATCCACAAATCAAACATTTTTGAAAGCATACTTATTTCATCATTAATATCCGAACATCCAAACATCTTGCCCAGTATGAAGTTGAAATTTTGAAGTTCATTCCAAACAGACGTGTGGTAAGCCTACTTTATTAAAGTCTGTGAATGTACTTATCTGCATGCAGGTGTTGATGCGTGCGTGCGTGTGTGTGTGTGCATGTGCACCAAAGATAAATCGAGACATCCATGATGTGCGTGAAGGCGTTGACATGTGCGTGCATGTGTGCAAGTAAACGCGTGTGTGCGTACGTGCGTGTACAAACGTGCTTTGATTGTTTATGGACATCAACTTAATGGTTATGGAGATTAGTGCCTATAACGATAATATCCGACGACGAAGATGATGACGATGATGACGATGATGACGATGATAATAAGGAAGACGACGACGATGAATAGTTGTCATGACAACATTATCCACAAAAGAATAAACACACCATCGAAACTTCATTCTCGCTTCTTTCACCGGAAATAGAAATATTGCTCATTTCGTTGCACGGCATCTGCTCTTCATTACCATTTCAAGAGACACGAAGGTTAAAGGCTATCAATGAAAGTCACCAATAAAGGTCAAGGTTCAATCGAAATTCAAGGGGGTTAGATCAATTATTTGAACTTGCACGATTGTTTCTATATGTGTATTTCGCTTTGTATATAAGCAAATAAAAACGCGAAAACAATACATGCATGCATGCACTTGCACACGGTTTAATTTAACTTTAGCACGTGGTTTCATTCGATTTTAGCATTTGGTTTTAATTTTAACACATGGTTTCATTTATGTGGTTGTAACACGTGCTAACAGGTGATCAACCAGTTCGAACAATACTGATCTTGAATGTTAAAAACTGCTTCTTTCAATACAAAACACAAAAATATCAACTTATAACGTGAAAATCATCAATGTACTAATAGTTTATGTCTTGAAATTGCAAATATTTAAGACAATCAATTTAATTTTTAACGCACTAACAATAAAGCAGAAGATAAAATTAAATGTTTTTTATGTTGGGTTCGAAGAGATGCACGCGAGTTTGTTTGCTTGTTTGTTAGCTTGGATGTTTGTTTGTTTGCTTGTTTGTTTGGATGTTTGTTTGGATGTTTGTTTGTTTGCTTGCTTGTTTGTTTGTTTGGATGTTTGTTTGTTTGCTTGCCGGCCTGCCTGCCCGCCAACCTGCTAGCTTGCTCGTTTTGTCATTCCTACGTTTATTCGATTGTTTTAACGGCCTTTCTACGCAACTATCGACTGCCTTCCCTCCACAATTGGAAAATCGAAAAATCCATTTCTTATATCAAATATTTCCTCTATTTGAATATCAAACAAAGGATCGCAAAATGAACTTTCCATTATCGATTGTAACATTGTAGGTATCAATGTTTTATGATTCGCGTGTCTACATAATAATTACTTTCGAGAAGTTAAAATAAAAAATTAACTATATAAAAAAATTTCTATTGAATTCAAATTATCGTAGTACTTGAAACTCTTAAGAGATTTAGAAAAAAAGCTGCCGAAATGAACAAATTGCGCTATATTATTGGTACTTTATTATTGTATTCGAAGTCTTAACTATAATTCCTAGTTTTGAATTTCAAGTAAATGATTGCAAAAAGAACTTTCCATTATCATAGCTTAAAAAAAATTAAGTGTATATAACATCGTACAACAACAACAAACCGGAGTTTGACGCTCAACTGGATAGTTACAATAAGATATATTGGAGACCGAGTAGGACGGGAGTAAGCCCCCTAATAAAAAAGCTCAACAGTGAAGCACCATTTGAAAGAATTTGAAGCAAATGTTGACTCGTTCTTATTGTCTATAAATAACAGACAACTTATTTTTATTTATTTATGTCTGTATATTAATTTGGAGAATATTTCTTTTTGAATGGTTCTTACCTTGTTTGTGTTACAGCTTTCCATATTTCATCATCAGTTGAAATGACTAATTTCATTTGTCAATAGTATGAAATGAAAGATTGTAACATTGTACCTATTAACGTTTTATGATTCGCGTGTCTACTTAATAAGTACTTTCGAGAAGTTAGAATAAAAAATTAACCATAAAAAAAATTTATATTGAATTCAAATTATCGTAATATTGGTAACTCTTAATAGATTTGGAAAAAAAAATCCTCTACGTTTCAATTTACAATAGTTATTGCTGTCGGAGTGAACAAATTGCGCTGTATTATTGTATCCATTTTCTTTGCTAAATTTCCTATTTTGAGAATTTCAAACAAAGGATCGCAAAAAGAACTTTCCATTACCGATTAGAACATTGTACGTTTTATGACTCGCGTGTCTACATAATTTTTGAATTTTAAACAAAGTATCAAAAAAAGAACTTTCAATTATCGATTGTAACATTGTACGTATCAATGTTTTATGATATGCGTGTTTACATAATAAACATACCAATGTTTTTTGATTTGATTGTCTACATAATAATTGATTTCGAGATGATAGAATGAAAAACTAACTTTTTAAAAAAAATTTTTATAGAATTCATATCATCATAATACTGGTTACTCTTGAATGAATTTGGAAAAAAATCATATAGGTTTCAATTTACAATATTGATTGCTGCCGAAATGAACAAATTGCGCTGTATTATTGTATTCGTTAGCTTTGCAATATTTCCTATACTTTAATTTCAAACAAAAGATCGCAAAAAGAACTTTCCATTACGGATTAGAACATTGTACGTTTTATAACTCGCGTGTCTACATAATGTTTGATTTTTAAATAAAGAACTTTCCATTATCGATTGTAACATTGTACGTATCAAAGTTTTATGATACGAGTGTCTACATAATAATTGATTTCGAGATGTTCGAATGAAAAACTAACTTTATTAAAATAATTTTTATTGAATTCATATCATCGTAATACTGCTAACTTTTAAATGATTTAGTAAAAAAATCATCTACGTTTCAATTTAAAATAGTTATTGCTGCCAAAATGATCAAATTGGGCTATATTATTGTATTCGTTATCTTTGCTATATTTTCTATCTTTGAATTTCAAACAAAGGATCGCATAAAGAACTTTCCATCACCGATTGTAACATTGTACGTTTTATGACTCGCGTGTCTACATAATTTTTGAATTTTAAACAAAGGATCACAAAAAGAACTTTCCATTATCGATTGTAACATTTTACGTATCAATGTTTTATGATATGCGTGCCTACATAATAATTGCTTTCGAGAAATTTTAAAAATAAATTAACTATAAAAAAATTTCCATTGAATTCAAATTATCGTAATAGTTGAAACTCTTAATAGATTTAGAAGAATAAAATCATCTACATTTCAATTTACAATAGTGATTGCTGCCGGAATGAACAAAGTGCGCTTTATTATTTGTACTTTATTATTGTATTCGTTATCTTTGCTATATTTTCTAACTTTGAATTTCAAACAAAGGATCGCAAAAAGAACTTTCCATTATCATAGCTTTTAAAAAATAAAGTGTATATAACCGAGTCATCACACCAAGCCAATTCATTCATCGTACGTTCGCTCTGGTGCATCCATCTTAAGATTAATTTTACGTTTGCAAATTTTTTGATCAAGCTTACGTTCGAAATTGAAAAATGACAAGTAATAAAATCGACATGAGTTTGGATGAAATTATCAAGTTATCAAAAGTCGGTCGTGGTAGAGGTGGTAGAGAAAATTTCAACAACAGGAGAAGCAATTCTTTCCAACAAAATATTGCGGAAATAACGTCGGAGATAATAATTCAATTCGAAAGGGCAATCAGACTTCGAATCGAAGGGGTAGAATTTTTTTGGGGGGTGTTATTCGTGGCGGTGTGACGAAAAAATCCTATAAAAGTTTCATTCCGAAAAACTTGGAAAAAGTCTGCAATCACGATTTATTTGAAGGAACAGTCGGTATCAGTGCAAATAAGGCTGTCAATGAAGGAAAATTATTAATATCAAACCTTCACTCTGGTGTCATCGACTTTGACGTGAAGGAAATCTTCTCAGAGTTTGGAGTGTTGAAAAAAGCAGCTGTGCATTACAACTTTTCAGGTCAATCACAAGGCACCGCCGAAGTTATATTTGCATCAAAGCAGGCTGCTCTTCGGGCCATAGATCATTATAATGCTGTCCCTCTTGATGGACGTCCAATGAAGATACAAATTGTCGAAAATTCTTCAATTAAAAATCGTCTAGGAATGAGATTCAGCCGCAGCAGCAGTGCCATAGGTGGTGGTGGAAAGAGTAGAGTGCAGAGCACATCGTTCAACAACAATAGCAGTGGCAACAACAACAACAGTAGTAACAACTCGTTCAACAGATCTAACATTAGGAGAGGCTTCATCAACAGACGAGGAGGTCGTGGTGGCAGAGCAAGGGGCGGAAGACTGAACCAACCTGTCCTGACCAAACAGAAGTTGGACGCTCAACTGGATAGTTATTATAAGATGGAGACCGAGTAGGACGAGAGTAAGCCCCCTACAGAAAGAGCTCAGCAGTGAAGCACCATTTGAAAGAACTTGAAGCAAATGTTGACTCGTTCTTATTGTCTAAATATCAGACAACTTATTTTTATTTCTTTATGTCTGTATATTAATTTGGAGAATATATTTTTATGAATTGTTCTTACCATGTTTGTGTTACAGCTTTCCATATTTCATCATCAGTTGAACAGACTTATTTCATTTGTCAATAGTATGAAATGAAAGATTGTAACATTGTACCTATTAATGTTTTATGATTCACCTGTCTAACCCTACTCCTGTCGAGAAGTTAGAATAAAAAAATTAACTATAAAAAAAAATTTCTATTGAATTCAAATTATCGTAATACTTGTAACTCTTAATAGATTTAGAAGAAAAATATCATCTACGTTTTAATTTACAATAGTTATAACAGCCGGATTGAACAAATTGCGCTATATTAGTTATCTTTGTTATATTTCCGATCTTTGATTTTCAAACAAAGGATCGCAATAAAAACTTTTCATTACCGATTGTAACATTGTACGTTTTATGACTCGTGTATCTACATAATGTTTGAATTTTAAACAAAGGATCGCAAAAAGAACATTCCATTATTAATTGTGACATTGTACGTATCAATGTTTTATGATTCGAGTGTCTACATAATAATAGATTTCGAGAAGATAAAATGAAAAACTTACTTTATAAAAAATATATTTATTGAAGTCATATCATCGTAATACTGGTTAAGGATAATAATCATATACGTTTCAATTTACAATAGTTATTGCTCTCGAAATGAACAAATTGCGCTATATTATTGTATTCGTTATCTTTGCTATATTTCCTATCATTGAATTCCAAAAAAAGGATCGTAATAAAAACTTTTCATTACAGATTGTAACATTGTACTTTTTATGACTCGTGTATCTACATAATGTTTGAATTTTAAACAAAGGATCGCAAAAAGAACATTCCATTATTACCTATTAATGTTTTATGATTCGCCTGTCTAACCCTACTATTGTCGAGAAGTTAGAATAAAAAATTAACTATAAAAAAAATTTCTATTGAATTCAAATTATCGTAATACTTGTAACTCTTAATAGATTTAGAAGAAAAATATCATCTACGTTTCAATTTACAATAGTTATAACAGCCGGATTGAACAAATTGCGATCTTTCCGATCTTTGATTTTAAATCAAAGGATCGCAATAAAAACAATAAAAAAGTAGGACGAGAGTAAGCCCCCTACAGAAAGAGCTCAACAGTGAAGCACCATTTGAAAGAACTTGAAGCAAATGTTGACTCGTTCTTATTGTCTATAAATATCAGACAACTTATTTTTATTTCTTTATGTCTGTATATTAATTTGGAGAATATTTTTTTATGAATTGTTCTTACCATGTTTGTGTTACAGCTTTCCATATTTCATCATCAGTTGAACTGACTTATTTCATTTGTCAATAGTATGAAATGAAAGATTGTAACATTGTATCTATTAATGTTTTATGATTCGCCTGTCTAACCGTAATCCTGTCGAGAAGTTAAAATAAAAAATTAACTATAAAAAAAAATTTCTATTGAATTCAAATTATCGTGATACTTGTAACTCTTAATAGATTTAGAAGAAAAATATCATCTACGTTTCAATTTACAATAGTTATAACAGCCGGAGTGAACAAATTGCGCTATATTAGTTATCTTTGTTATATATCCGATCTTTGATTTTCAAACAAAGGATCGCAATAAAAACTTTTCATTACCGATTGTAACATTGTACGTTTTATGACTCGTGTATCTACATAATGTTTGAATTTTAAACAAAGGATCGCATAAAGAACATTCCATTATTAATTGTGACATTGTACGTATAAATGGTTTATGATTCGAGTGTCTACATAATAATTGATATCGAAAAAATAGAATGAAAAACTAACTTTATAAAAAATTTTTATGGAATTCATATCATCGTAATACTGGTAATTCTTAAATGATTTAGGAAAAAATCATATACGTTTCAATTTACAATAGTTATTGCTGCCGAAATGATCAAATTGGGCTATATTATTGTATTCGTTATCTTTGCTATATTTTCTATCTTTGAATTTCAAACAAAGGATCGCATAAAGAACTTTTCATCACCGATTGTAACATTGTACGTTTTATGACTCGCGTGTCTACATAATTTTTGAATTTTAAACAAAAGATCACAAAAAGAACTTTCCATTATCGATTGTAACATTTTACGTATCAATGTTTTATGATATGCGTGCCTACATAATAATTGCTTTCGAGAAATTTTAAAAATAAATTAACTATAAAAAAAATTTCCATTGAATTCAAATTATCGTAATAGTTGAAACTCTTAATAGATTTAGAAGAATAAAATCATCTACATTTCAATTTACTATAGTTATAGCTGCCGGAATGAACAAATTGTACGCTATTATATCTGTCATTTTAATTTATTTGTTATCTTTGCTATATTTCTTATTTTTTGATTGTAAAGTATCGTTAAAAGAATCCTGTATTAGTTCCTTGTTTACTGCAGGTTTCTAGCGAGTGTTGAATCTATATCCGAAATGTTATTTATGTAGTTACTTGATTTAGTTTATTGTTTCTATTACTGTTGGCATTCAAATTAACGTTCAACAAAGTTTTAGTTTGAACCAATTTGGTTCATCTTCCGGTAATCTTGAACCTTTGGAATAACAAACACTTGACGATCGTTGGCAGCTGCAACGCTGGTGCTTGTTGCTGGAAATATTGAGATCGTTAAAGTTATAACATTGGTTAAGGTTGTTACGAACGTCAAAGGGTTACAACATTGTTGTTATAATTAAGATTTTTGATAGATAAAAAATTATTTTTCGACAATAAATGCCAGCGCTAGTAGAACTCATTAAACTACTTCTTTAAGTATGACAACGAAATTTCGACTCAAAAGGAGTGAAGGCGGTCCTGGTAAGCCACCTAAGGGACGCTCTAATAAAATAAGTCGATCACTATGATTTTACGGATCCCTTAAAACAAACATATGTTAGACGCAATGGAAGCCAAATTACGAGCCGCCAATAAAAGAATATCTCCTAATAAAGAGATAATCGAAACAGCTATACCAGTTACGGCTATACAAGTGTCTGATATTATCCTTCCGGCTTATTCATCTACGGATAATTTTGACAGCGACGCACGTGTATTATGTGTTGGAGAAATACAGTTTACGAAGAGTTGTCTACGGCACAGTTCAATTTAGGAAGTTATTTCCAGGATAGAGAAATTTGTGGAAGAAATATTTTGTTGAATTCGGTTCGTGAAGAGATTTCCTCGTCAGAGTTCAATTTATGAAAAGTTGTTTCCAGAGAAGTTGAGCTATTTTTTGCTAACTATATTTAATTGAAACTGCTTACAGATACTGTTCATGGCTCATTTATTTATTTAGTTAAGTGCAATATTATTATTTTTATTGACATTGGCAATATTTGCATCTTATGTGTTGTTGTTTTTACGGCTGAAATATTCAAGAAACCTAGATTGAATAAATGAACAATTGAATGACTTTCCTCAAGCCAATCTTCGCAACAATGAAATGCACACCTATACGCAAATGATCGTTCGGTAAACTTGTCAAGACAGATGCATTGTATGGATTTGAATTCACGTAGATTGTACTTGCGTGGATTGTACTTGGGTATGTTGTGTTCGATTTTGCGATGAATTTACGCCGAGAGATATCTGAGCGATTGGTCAAAGAATGAAGCATACGATTTGTTCATACAGCGCTACAAACAAGCAAGCAGTACTTATGCGTGCATACATTTTGCCTTGCGCGTGTATGTGATTGGCCGCATATATTTGTGCGTGTACGTGTGCGTGCAAGCGTGTGTGTATTTTAATTGACTGATCCGTAAGCGGCTGTATAAATTATAAGGGTTTATGCAAATGTATGTACGCATGATGTGGGTGTGTATGTATTAGCGTATGCGCGTTACTTTGTTACTTTAAGTGCGTGTTATTATGCATGCGTTTATGTGTATGTGTGCGTTTATGTGGGCAGCCCGATTTTGAATTAATTGTAACTGTGCAACATACTTTTTGGGTAAACCTTAGAATAAACTGTTGCAATAATCGATCCTCGAGTGAATGAACTAGTGAATTAAACATTGCAATGTATGCATATTTAGAGATCCTTTGATGAGTCTCAATTTTCTCAATTGGTAAGTACATTCTTTAAACAACAACTTTATATGCAATTGCATTGTCATATTTGTATCAAAAATAAATCCAATATATATATATATATATATATATATATCGTAAATCATATATACGATATTTACGATATATATATATATATATATATATATATATATATATATATATATATATATCTATCGTAAATCATTTTCAAGTTTCTTTAGTTCAAAACCAAAATTTTTGTTTGTTTTATGCATGATAGAACAGAAAAGCTATTTTTGGTATTCCTATACCATCTTCGGTGTTCAAATTGATATGTTGTGTATGTGCCCAGAAAGGGCCGGATTAAGGTCACTGAAGACCTAAGGCTTATTGATAAAAAAAGGGCCTAATGTTGGTAATTATATAAAAAACGTAACAATTATTTTTAATAAATTTATTAAATAACAGAAATATATCATAATAAATGTATATGTGTAGTTTGTATAATTCAAAACTGCTTTTTTCTGGCTTTGGTAGTTGCAAAGTTATGGATAATGTCATTATAGTTTAAACTTCTTAAAATTTCGGATTCAATGCTCAACAGTGAAAGAGCAGAAAGGCGTGTTTACGACATGGTTGATCGCAAATAATTTTTAACTCGTTTTAACACAGAAAACGATCGTTCTCCACTACAGTTAGTAACCATAAGTGTCAAAAACAAACGTAGAGCCGTCTCTACATTTGGGAAACTTTCTGCAACTTCAGTTTCAATAATAATTCTATACAGCCACATCGATTTGGAAGGAGGCCATATTTTATACAGTATTATATGAATTCTACCGAATGGTTAATGCTAACAATTTGGTAGAACTCATACAATACTGTATACATGCATGCATACCTGTATATATAATACCTATATAAAAAACATACATGCATATGTATAAACAACACACGCACGTATAAAAAGGAGGAGAGGCTCCTTCCTTCCACGCACTAAGCATGCGTGGAAGGAAGGAGCCTTATAAGAGCTTGCACGAAACGGTAGGGGGCAGAAGTTTTTTAGGAGTTGTGTGTCATTTGCAACTTTTGTGTTTGTTTCAAAGTTCTTCTGCTGCTTCTCGTACGTTATTTAAAAAAATATTTTTATTCAAAACTTGCGGTAGCAGTTTAGAAGTATTTAATTTTGTTTTTATATTTAAATTATATTGAAGCAAAACGATTTTATTCTACAGGACAGTTTCAAGGAGTGATACATTCATTTTATTATTTCAAAAAATTAATTTTATTCTTTCATTTTGAAAACTAAGTTTTTATTTTCGTTTTGAAATCTGATACAACTGGTTGTCCACAACAAATAATACAGCGCCATCATTTGTTTTTGCTGCCGAAAAATTTCAAAGTCCGTCACGTCAGGTTCGTTTGAAAGTTTAAAAATTTGCATCAACAACAACAACTCAACAACTTTGAAAGGTTGTAATGGGTCTAACAACCACCACCATAACAACAACAAACAACAACAAATAAGAAAAGATATAAAATGATAATAATAAAATTTTTCAAACAATCATTAATTTCCTGGCGACCATCCATCAGTTGAATACAAATTGTTGAACGGCGTTCGTCAGGCAGGCGATCAGGCAGGCAGAAGCATTTTTTGGTGCTGTGTAATTGGCGGGTAATTGACTTCACTACATCGGCAACATTTCAACGAAATCATCAACTGAAAAAGAACAACAACAACATTCACAACAATTATTATTATTTCGATTGTTTTCGGAACTTTTATTCTTAATTTCTCAGTAGTAACATTTTTACTCTCTATCATTACTACTACTACTACGACCTTAAATATTAGCTAATAATACTACTGTTAATACTGCCACAGCAAACGCAAATACCGTCACTACTACTACACCTTCTATACTACCACTGCTACCACAAGTAGGTACTACAACTGCTAATACTTTCATTACTTCTGCTGCTTCTTATACTCTTACTACTACTGCTACTATTTCTACTTCTTTTTCCACTACTACTACTACTACTACTACTACTACTACTACTACTACTACTACTACTACTACTAGTACTACTATTACTGCTACTACTACTACTATTATTGCTGCTACTGCTACTAACACTACTACTACTACACATCTACAAAAGCAATAACCAATAAAAGTGGAATAGAGTTGTTGGCCGTGGCAACAACGTGATCTCACATAACTATATTGATATATATATATATAACTATATATAATTAACTACATTGCTCTCGATAAAACCACTACTACAACAACACATTAATGACAACAACAACAAAATAACACAACAACAAAGTATTAACAACAACAACAAGACATTGATGAAAAAAACAACAACAACACAATGACTCCAACATCAACAAAACAGCACAACAACAGCCAAACATTAATGACAAAAACAACAACAATAAAACAACAACAAAATATTAATGACACCAACAACAACAATTACAGTACAACAACAACAAAAAATCCAGATATAAAATCAATAACAAAAAATACAAAAACAACAACAGCACTAGCAAAAACAACATCAAAAACAACAATGATAACAATAGTAATAATATTAATATTATTATAAATAATATTAATAATGATAAAAAAAATTTTGACAGAACAATAAACTCTTTGCAATTCTATTTCATCGTACAAGAGACAATTAAATGTCGTTAATTAATTAATTGTTAATAATTAACTAGTTGTTAATAATTAATGAATTGTAATTAGTTGGTTAGTTAGTTAATTAATCAATTGTGACTTAATAATAAGAAAATAAATAAAAAAAACAAATTAATTAGTTTAACTTAATAAACAAATTAATAAAAAACCAATTAATTAATTAATTAATTAACTAATTTTTATTTATTATTAACTGAGTGATGACAAACCAATCATAATTAAAATTATCAGCAGTTTAATTGATTCAAACGTTGACGGTAATAATAACATCAACAACAACAACAACAACGGTAACATCAACAACAACAACAACAAGATTAATAATAGTATTAGTAACAGTAGAAAACAGTATTAAACAACAGTAACATCATAAGTAGTAGTAGTATTAATAGTAGCAGTAGTAATAGCAGAAGTAGTAGTAGTAGTAGTGACAGTAGTTGTTGTAGTAGTAGTAGTGATAGTAGAGTCAGTAAAATATCTACCGAGAGAAACGCTGAAAACATTGTCGATTGTTGTTCGAGTGCAGCAATGAAACTGTTGGCTGAAAAGGATCACCATCATCACCACTCCCATCATCATCGTCATCTTCGTCATCATCGACATCATCCTCTTCATCATCATCATCCTCGTCATCATCAACATCAACTACATCTTTGTTGTTGCAGCGGCCACAATAGCTGTGGGTGGTGGTGGTGGTGTTCGGGTTTTGTCATTTTGTTGTTGAGCAACATCATCATTGCTTCTGACGGCAATACAATATCAGGTTTGTGTCCATGTTGTTGTTTTGCCTGTGGGCTGTTGTTGTTTTTGTTGTTGTGATAGTTTTCGCTGTAGTTTATGCTCGTCTTCGTGCAGTTGTTTTTGTTGTAAATGTTGTTTAGCAGTTGTTGTTGTTGTTGCTGTCTTTTGTTGCGATCCTCGTTACCATTTTTGTTGTTGTTTGTTAGCGATCTGATCAGCTTGTTAATGTTCTGCAGTTGTTTGCTGATGTCAGTGTTGTTGTTTTTGTTGCTGTTGTTGTATGTAAATGTCGTTATTATTTTGCTGTTATTGTACTTTGCTTATGTTGTTGTTACTTGTATAACATACATTAGCTATATTTTTAATATTTGTTTGTTTGTTTATTTGTTAGTTTATTAGTTTGTATGTATTTTCGTTTGTCTGTTTGTTTTTTGCCGTTGCGCCCATATTCATCACATTGAAATCATCACCACCACCACCACCATCTCATCCTCCTCCTCCTCATCATCACCATTTGAAAGTTATAATAACAAAAAACAACAGCAACAACCACTACAACAACAATCTGAACAACAACAACATAAACAACAACAACACCAAAAAATTGTTACAGAAACATATCTCGAACATGGCATGGATGACTAATTAGTTTTCTTCTCTTTCATACCGTACAGCAGGACGCGTGCACTCCCTTCTTGACTGCCAACTTCTAAATATACAAATAAAAATTTAATCTTTCATTTAAAAGTTCAAAAAAATGTTTAATGAGTAAAAATCAGTACACATTTCACAACAACAACCACAACAGCAACCTGAACAACAACAACACAACATCAACCTGAACAACAACATAAGCAACAACCAGAACGACAACAACACAACAACAACAACCACAACAACCAAAACAACAACAACAACATAAAATTCGGTGTTGCCAAGTTTCATGGAGGCAATCGAACAGACATCGGAAAAGGCATCAGAAACATCACCCGAAGGAGAACTGCTACATGCATTTTTCAATGAATTCATTTGACAAACGAAAGAAATAAACATTCACTTCGATTCAAAATAATTCATTTCCTCAACTTGTTGATGAGAATTATTTCGACGAATGAGAGACAAGCGAAAGTTTTTAATTAAGAACAATGGAAAACATCTCTAAGGAATCATTATATACACAGTGCTGTGTGTACATAGGTGTATGTACTTTAAATACGGAGGCATACGCTGTATCTACAAATATGTATGTTGTACTTACGGAAACACGTTGTATATATAAATATAAATTACGTGCTTACAAAAATAACTGTCGTCCTTACACCTTGGTAATCTATACTTTTAAACATATATTGTACTTAGAAAAAATTGCATTGCGCTTATTTTGCATAACATTTTGTGCATACGTTTCGTTTGTACACACAAAGACGTGTTGTACATATAAAAATATGCATCGTACACACAAAAACGTGTTGTACAACTAAAACTATATGATGTACCTACAAAAATTTATGTTGTACGTACAGTTTTGTAATACATTTTTAAAATGTATATTGTGCTTGCAAGGACATGCGTTGCACTTGCGATGGATAACACAGCACGCATGCGCGTTTGAACAACAGTGAAAATCTAACTACCTCTCAACCTCCCACACAAAATATGCGCTCATAAAACTGACGCCTCAATTATTAATGAAATCTTTAATTTGTTGTTTGTTCGCCTGCCACTCAGTCCATAAGAATGCAGCAACACAAGTTCCATCGTCACAACAACGTCTGCATTGTCCTGTCCCTGCTGTCACCCATGAAGTCACTGCATCGTGAGGTACCTATCACAAAGCACTCATTGGAATGAGTTTCTTTTTAACTTGAGATTATTTTGAAAACAATTGAACTTGAAGTTGAACGACTGAACTTCAGCAGGAACCAACAATTTGTTACATCAGCGTGTGTTGACTAAGCAATACGTTGAAGTTAAACAAGCTGTCTGGCTGGCTTTAGAAAGATGGATTTGATGAAACTAATCGTTAGCCCTCCTAACGTATTTTGTTCCATAAATCGAGAAAAGTCAGAAAATTTATTTTTTGTGGATGCTAACAATCTTTTTAAGACTGATCCATTTGTCTACCCATAGAGTGAAAATGAGGCTGCTCAGTTGCTGTGTGGTTCAATACCTGATTCACTCTATCCAGCCCAATCCATCCAACTCACTCCATCCAACTCACTCCATTCACCCCACTCCATCCAACTCACTCCATCAAATTCTGTTAACTGTTTGAAATATTTAAATTGTAAATCAGCAGTGTATTGGCGGGTAATGTAATGTAATGAAAGAGGTGGGAGATGTTGTTGACAATTAAGTCACATACAATTGTAGTGATAATGATGACGACCATCGTGATTATGATGATGGCAATAATAGCGATGGTGATGATGACGATGGTGATGGTGGTGGTAGTGATGATGACGACGACGACGATGATGATATGATGATAATGCAATGATCGAATTCATTGTTGTCCATGCATTGGGAAATTTAATCTTATCAAGAAGCTTTTTGTTGACGATCGTAATAACGTCCTCATATCAACGTTATCATCTGTGTGGTCATCATCATCCTCATCATCTTCATCGTCGTCGTCGTCGTCATCATCATCATCCTCAAAATTTTAATTACCACCATCATCTTTTTTTTATCATTTATTGTTATCTTAACCATCTTCATCTCATTCATCATCTGTATTAAACTTTTGCTCCTCAATGCTATCTTTAATGATCATCATCTCTATCTTAATTGTATCTAACATCATCATCATCATCACCATCGTCGTTGTCATCGTCATTCTCACAATCATCATGATCATCGTCATCATCACCATATTATTATAATCATCATCAGCATCATAAGCGTTATCGGGATTGTTCCAAAATTATCCTCTCAGTAATTGAAATTTTTCAATTTTTTTGATCACAATCATCATCATCATCACTATCTACTGACGTCATCATCATCATCATCATCGTCATCATCATCATCTCTTTTTAATGTCATCTCTCTCCTTTGTTAGATATGATGATGATGATGGCGATGATGATGGCGATGATGATGATGAGATGCAATCCTTCCATCATCTTCATCTTCATGTGCAAACATTCGCCAATGAGGCTCTCCTGCAAGATCTACAAAAGGAAAAATGGATTATAAAATGAGAAGAAGAAGCTGATGATAATGTTGATGATGATGATGTTGTTGATGATGATGTTGTTGTTGATGATGATGATGATGTTGATGATGATGATGATGTTGTTGTTGATGATGTTGTTGATGATGACGATGATAATGATGATGCTGTTACTTATGATGATGAATGATTGTGATGACAAAAGCATTAAAGCTGACTGGAGATGACGATCAGAATGTTGAAGGTGATGACGTTGAAAATATGATGATGACAAAATGAAGATTATCATAACGATAGTGAAAATAGTTAGAGCGATGATAATAAATAAATTTGCACCTCCGATGGAATAAAGAGCGGTTGCTCATTTTCCTGGTTCGAACGCACGCGCGTCAGTCTAATATTGGATTTATTACGTACGTGGAGAGTACGATGTGATGTTTTGTCTGTGTGTGTGTGTGCGTGTGTCTGTGTGTGTGTGTGGTGTGTGCGTGCGTGCGCCATGTATGTGTGTGTGTGTGTGTGTGTGCGTAAGCCATATATGCGTCTTGTATGCGTCTTGCGTGTGTGCGAGTCATATAAGCGTGTGTACGTATTGTGCGTGTATACATTTGCATGAGATATGTGTACATATACGTAATGTGTGTGTGTGGTGTGTACGTTGTGTAGATGTGTGTGTAAGTTGTGTGGATGTGTTTGTACGTTGTGTGGATGTGTGTGTGTACATTCCAGTGTACATATTATGACGGCAGAGCAGTTGCTTTTGAAAAATTTTGTGATAAAACACGTTTGAACCTTCGACGCGAATTGGGCTATATCAATGGCCATATCATCTGTCATGTAGAGGTGAAGAAAGGAAGAAGAAGATGATGGTGGTGATAAAAATGATGATGGTGATGATGATGATGGTGATGATGGTGGTGGTGATGATGATAAGGCTTTTAATGAAGTAATAATGCAAAAGTTGTTTCAAAATTTTGAAAACTTCATTTCAATGAAATTAAAAATGTTTTATTTTTATGCACGTGAATCGATCGATGCATGCGTCGGTGATGATGATGACGATGATGATAATGTTGAGAATGAGACAATAGGGAAGTAGAAACATTATCGGCATATAGTCGTTATCTTTTTTATTTTGAATTTGTTTTCAAATTGGATGTTCCTACAAAAACATCCTGCACTTAACGTGCACAACTCTCTCCACACACAACACCACACAAATACAACTCTTCTCACACACAACACCACACAAACACAACTCTCTCCACACACAACACCACACAAACACAACTCTCTTCACACACAACACCACACAAACCAACACACATGTGAGCAGTTACCACAATAATTGAAAGCACACGCAAACTCACACGCCACAGGAATAAATTGAAACCGAGGCGCGGGAATATAAAAAACTGCACACATAGACACACACTTGTTCACGTATATGCATACCAATAAATATACACATACACACACACACACACACATACACACACACACGCACGCGCGCGCACACACACACACACACACACACACACAAAGATACTAATCCATACATGTACCGAAGTGGAAACTCTACAAACTGTCACACAAATTTCCGCATACATCAGGGTGAAAAACATGCATAAACTTAAATATCTTTTTTGCACACCTATAAACGTACAATATATAGACGTACATCTATTCATCCATCCATCCATCCATCAATAGAAACATACATACATCCATCCATCCATACATACATACACATACATACACACAACATATATACATACACACAAACACACACATACATACACCTTGGTTGACATTTTCTAGGGTCAGGTTCAAAGCAATAAAGAACATTAGTCTTCAAATGCTTGCCCACGTGCCATGTTTTGATGCTTGCTCACACAACCCATCTACATCTTCACGCACACGCACATGCACTGACACACTTAATACACGAACACACGTAAAAAAAACATACTCACACACACACACACACACACACAAACACACACTGTGTTTATTGCACAACCCTTAAAAACTAGCTTCAAAATTCCTTCCATAATTAGTTGCAATTAAACTCATTTCCACAAAAGTTGACGACACATTCCAACTACGCAACGCACACGCACACACGCACACGTGTACGTGCGTACATGCATGTGTGCAAGCACCTCATCACACGCTAGAGGCATTCGGTAGTTTTTCAGATCAACACGTAATAACAACTTGCGACACAACGGCCTGGCCTTCGTACCTGCTGTGGATCAACCTGTGGATCAATTGACATCACCTGACAAGTGGAATTCATGACTGACAAAATTTGGCACCTTACATTAGGGTGTCCGGAAAAATTTTTTTTTAGAATTTCGCAATACAAGACCTCTTGAAAGTTGCCAATTTGATCATAAATTACGAAAATAATCATACAAATTAAATTAAATTGCATCTTCAGGGTTCTACCAAATTTTAAAGTTTTGAAAAATGGCATTTTTTTGTGTTAATATTTTGTGCCGCTTAACGTCGAATCCGAATCATAATTAAAATGTTATATATGTTCTTTGTTTTGTTTACATGTGATAACTTCACATTGTTTTAATTTGTATGCATTAGCGTTTTCCTGGTTGTTTTAAATTTTTCTAGTTTGAGTTAGCAAATTCACTAAAATTTCAGTTTCTGAAGACGTGATTTTATTTGTAAGCAAATTCTATTAAACTAATCTTATTATTTTGCTATAAAATTTTAAAATTAGAAATGTTTTATTTTCATCTTTCAGAAAATGAGTTCAATGCGTAGCGATACCATATCCTATGTCATTAAATTTATTTTATTTGTTAGGAATGACCTGAAACTAAAATGTAATGGCAAGGATCCATCCAATTTAAACATTTATTCAGTTGTATCTAAAAAAATTCAAAATATCTGGATAAAAGCTTCCATTCCAATCGTATCTAATGATCGAATTTTACAACTCTTAAAATCTTATTTTGAAAAATATCTCACTTTGAAAAGATATCCCAAAAGCAAAAGACATGATAGTTTTGAGAAAAAACTGAAATGTTTTTCAGATTTATCAAAGAGGCTTTTTGATGTGGCTTCATGTAAATGTGTCTTATTTGAAGCATGTGTATGTTTGAAAAATAAAAAAGTTCCTGTTAACGAAAGACAATTTTTGATCGATCAAAGAAATGAGAGAAAAATGGCTATAGGTGGCATCGATAAACAAGAAACGGTCAGATTGAGAAAACGACAGGCAAGACAATTTAAACGTTCAATGAAAGGAGTCAAAAAGTTTTGCTCAACACAAGGTTCTAATATTGTTTCAACAGCTTTGGATGTAGACGAGACGCATATCAATTTTTCCAAAACCAACCTGGCAACAGAAACACTTCTGACAAACCTGTCATTTACAAATACACCAACAACAACATTCGCTAATCGAAATTTACTGCAGTTACCAACATTGGCAAAAGTTTGTGATAGATATCGATTGTCTACACGATCTGCTGCTGCTGTTGCTTCTGCCGTTTTAGTTGACGTAGGTCTGGTTTCAAATGAAGACTCAACTCTAGTAATAGACAAAAATAAAGTTCACAGAGCTGTATCAAAGGCCAGAAAAAATATATTTCAAAATATTAGCGAAGTTTCACTAAACAGCATTTATTTTGATGGTCGAAAAGACAAAACGTTGGTGAATAAAAAATAGGAGTCCGTTACCATCGCCAAGTGGTTTTAGAAGAGCATATTTCAATTTTATCAGAACCTAATTCTATTTTTTTGGGACACACATCGCCATGTCGTGGAACCGCAAAAGAAATCTTTACTTCAATCATAACTTTATTAAAAAATCGAAATTACAATTTAAATGAGGTAATTTGCGTTGGATGTGATGGAACTGCAACTAATACCGGGTGGAAAGGTGGTGTAATTAAATACCTTGAAGAGTATTTGGATAGACCTTTACAATGGTGTGTTTGTATGCTTCATGCTAACGAGCTACCTTTTCGTCATTTATTCTTGGCTTTAGATGGCTGCACTTCAGGTCCTAGAGAATATTCAGGGCCTATTGGAAAACAATTAGCTACTTGCGAAAATAAAACTACGTTGCTTTTTCAACCACTGACCGGTCATTTGCCTGATTTAACGAAAAATGTAGTTAATGAACTGAGTACAGATCAAAAATATCTCTATGAAATATGTCAAGCAGTATTAACTGGTTCCTGTAGTCCTGAGCTCGCAAACCGTCAACCTGGAAATCTATCTCATTCAAGATGGCTTACTTGTGCCAACCGTTTACTTAGACTATATGTAAGTACTCCTGATCCATCAGAAAGTTTGCAAATACTTGTCGAATATGTAGTTAAAGTATATGCTCCTATTTTGTTTTCAATTAAACAAAAAAACATCTTTTAAAGATGGAGCTAAGCATATTTTTAATTTAATTTTATTCTCTCGATATTTACCAACAAATCTAAGAACAATTGTAGATTCTGTAATTGAGAGAAATGCTTTTTATGCACATCCAGAAAACCTTCTTGTTAGTATGTTATTTGACGACAGAGACTATATTTGGGAACTAGCATGTCGAAGAATAATAAAAGCTAGAAATACTGACAATGGTTTCAAACAGAGAATATTTAAAACACCGAAGCTTAACTTCTCTGCTAAAGATTATACTGAAATTATTTCGTGGCAGGAGTGTCAAGTTACAGTACCACCTGTGCTTCGGGATTTTACTAATGACGAACTCGAAAAGATGGCACAAGATGGAAGCCTTAAAATTGTTGATTTTCCTTGCCACACACAATCAGTAGAGAGATGTGTTAAACTGTTAACAGAAGCATCACAGAGTGTGACTAATGTTAATTCGAGAGATGGTTTCGTAAGAACCACGTTACAAAGTCGAGCTGAATTTCCAATTTTCGGACATAAAAATAAATTCAAATTTTAAATATATTTTATACTTGAATATAAACCGTCTGTTGTTTAATCTTGTTTAAATGTGTTTTGTTTTATAAATAGTATTAAAAAATCTATTATAGATGCGAGTTTTTTGTTTTTTTATGCAAACGATTCAAGTAATTGAAAACATTAAATTTTCAAAACTTTAAAGCGTGGTAGAACCCTCAAGAAGACATATAATTTTTATTGTTTCATTATTTTTGAAATCTGCATAAAATTTCGCAACTTTTGATACCTCTTGTTATAATGTGTCTTAAAAAAATTTTTTTTTCATACATCGATGGGACACCCTAGCTTACATCACATCGTCCGAAAAATGTTGATATCTTTAAAGTACCATGCGAGGATCAGAGGACGAGATGGTTGAAAAGTGGAAGGTCACTTTCCTGGTTCAGAGGACTCGGCCACACAAACAGAAGCATCGTACATGAACACGTGCTAAACGACCACCACCCACGAAGCACGCGATGGCGGGCAGCTTTTGACGAGTTCGAATTCGGTCACTGCGAATATTAAGGAGGCAGTCGTGCAACCTTCAGGCTGTTGATCTCTTGCTGTTGATAACCATAGGCATGTTTTACATGTGTGTGCGTGTGTGTGGTTTGTGCGTGCGTGTGTGTGTGTGTGTGTGTGTGTTTGTATGACTATTCAATAACCATAGGCATGTTTTACATTTACAAGTTTTAAAAGCACGAACAATCGCACAATACCTTCACACAACAACGAACACATTTAACACATCTTTTAAGATTTCAATTAGTGGGAAGACAATGTTCTTTAATAATCGATAATCGACACAACTATTTCATCATCATTATCAACAACAACATCATTATCATCATCATCATCATGGTCATCATCATGGTCTTCATTGTTGTTATTAATATTATTATTATCGTTAACATTTATTGTTATTGTTGTTATTGTTTTAATAATTATTATAATTATGATTGTTATGAATAATAATTATAATTATGATTGTTATGAATAATAATTATAATTATGATTGTTATGAATAATAATTATAATTATGATTGTTATGAATAATAATTATAATTATGATTGTTATGAATAATAATTATAATTATGATTGTTATGAATAATAATTATAATTATGATTGTTATGAATAATAATTATAATTATGATTGTTATGAATAATAATTATAATTATGATTGTTATGAATAATAATTATAATTATGATTGTTATGAATAATAATTATAATTATGATTGTTATGAATAATAATTATAATTATGATTGTTATGAATAATAATTATAATTATGATTGTTATGAATAATAATTAATGCAGCGGTTATTTTTATCCTCGGAAGATGGCCATCTTCCTTGACAGCAACCCATGCTCGATCGATTAGCGGTCCACGTCACATGACACTGACACGTGACCTGACAATCAGTGACGTCACTTGAAATACCATTATCATAGCGGCCTACTCGGACCGGTGGTTATGATTATGATGAAAAAGTTTAAAGATGGTGGTCTGTATATACTGTAATAGTATTATTGCTTGGTTGATTGATGCCATTTGGGTATGCTGGTTGTTGGCTGATGCTGATTGAAGCACAGTCTCATAATTTTTAATCGTCAGTCGTCAACAGCTTGAATGAATGATTTGCAGTGAGGAAGCTGGTCATGTGTGGTCCACGCTGCAGGCTGAATGAGTTGGATGTCTTGTAAATAGAAGGTGGGTTGTCATGTGTTTGATTAGTGCTGTGTCTTTGTCATTTGAGGTATTTTTGGCACACATCAATTTCTTCAGCAGATTTTTTTATTTTGTGCACGGTGCTGCATGCCTGGCTTCCTTCGTCACTGACGACATTTTGAAACATTATTCTTCTCACCCATTTTGTGACAAAATTTCTGACAGCATTCTTCCAATTATTTTCATCAACAAGATGTTTTGGGTGAAACGTGTCGAAGATGGCTTCTTAAATTTTGATTTTATTGTTTGTAAATATGCGAGTTGGCTGCGTGTCCAACATTTCAAACATTTAAACGAATGGGCAGTGGTTGAGTGGGCTGAGGAGGAAATGAGCATCTTCTGAAACCTCTGAAATGACGATAGCGGCTGATTTGTTTCTAAACGTGTGAACAACTGAACAACATCTGCCAACGTACGCGCGCGTTGGCGGCGTTCTGTGAAATGTGAGTTGTGTCGAATGTACGAGCAGAAAATATTGTTTTGTTCACAAATGTATGTGTGTGAATTGCATACTGTCCACGCACAACAAACCATACACCGCACATCACATAAAATGTACAAGTTTTTGAATTCAAAACTCCTGGCTAGAGGTTTCGTAGGAATGCAAATGTTGATCAGTGTTGAACTGTGGATCTGAGCTGTTAGTTTTGGGATTTCATCAGCAGATACGTTCTGAAACTCTTCTGGTCTGCTTCGATTGGAAGTTGCAGTTGGGACAAATTTTCAGAAAAATACAAACCACGATCAAAAAAAAATTTCCAACAGTTCAAGTAAAGTCAGGAAATGTCGATTTGAAATTAAATAATTAAGTATGGCGAATAAATATTGAGAGCTCTGAGATAGCGGGAGAAAGAGTTTGTTTGGATGGATTCACTTTTCAATGTGGCTTGCACATTTAAAGAAAGTGCTGAAGATTGTTTGATCCGTTTGAAAAAATATTTATAAAATACAGCAACATCTGTAGCAGCTCAGGCTGGAAATTTATGAAAAAAAAAACAAACAAAAAAGTGGACATGAGAATGTTTGAAACGTTTGTGTGATAATAATTCATCTCTGGAGCACATTTCAGTTTCATTTCATGTCATATAAAAAAATAAGAAGTAAGAAGCAAACACATTTTCTTGCGTTATCGAATTAGTTCATCCGATCCGATATATTTGTAATAATAATAATATAAAATATATATAATTATCATATTTTTTTAATGGTTTCTAAAATTTTTCAATAAAAACTTAATTAAAATTTTATATTAAAAGAGATTTAAAATTAACTCAGTATTTAATACATTTGAATGTCATTTCAAATTGAATTTGTCGTAAATGTTGCCGCTGTTGTGTTGTTGCTGCTAATATTGATGTCGTCGGGTTTCTATTGAAGAAGAGAATACAAAAAGTTGTTGGTCTCGTGTTGTTGTTGTTGTTGTTGTCATTATTGATTTGTTGTTGATATTGATGGCGATGTTGTTGTTGATGATATTGTTGTAGTTGTTGTTATTTATTATTATTACGTTAAACAAAGACGAAGACAAAACGTCCCTGTGCCTTCTCAAAACTAAGACAATTTTAGATATTGTTGATATTGATGGCGATGTTGTTGTTGATGATATTGTTGTAGTTGTTGTTGTTGATGTTATTGTTGTTGTGTCGTTGTCGTCAAAACATTTATTGAAAAAATTAGACATACTTACTTGCTAGATGATAACGATGATGATGATGACATTTCTTAAACAGGAAGAGGAAAAAGGGGAGGGAGATGTGACGTGTTCGATGGCGCGTTTGTCGTCTGTTAATGTTCGTTCAGGTGGTTGGTGATGATGATGATGTTGGCGCTGCTGCTGTAGCTATGCCTACTGCTGCTGCTTATGATATTGATAATGATAACGATACCGACGATGGTGATGACAGAGATGATAATGATGATGATGACATTGATCATGATGATGATGATGACGTTGATGATGATAATGATGATGATGATGATAGCAATGAAAATTGTGATAATGGTGTTGGCGAGGCTAATGTTGATAAAAAAAAAAGAAAAAAAGATAACGAAGAATGTGGTGAAAATAATAAGAACAATTAGGTCAGTGGTGATGATGAAGGTGGTGATGACGATAATAATGATGGTGATGATAACGGTGATAATGATGAATGATGATGACGTGATGATCATCTAGACTAAAACATACAAATTACTATAAAGATAATGATTAAATTGATGTCAAACTATGATTAGAACAATGATAATAATAATAACAATAATAATGTCATTTTTTATAACGCCATGGCAAGCGACTGAGGCGCATTATCATCATTATCAGCGCATCACACTTTTGCATGTGATAGGCGGGGATCTTTTTTAAGCATTCGAACCCGGACACTGCATCAACAGTGCCAGGCACCTAAGCCGTTACACCATCGCGCCGCTAAAAGATATGATAAAAAATATAAAAAAATATACAGAAGTGATGATGACTTAACATGACGTATTGAATGATAAAGCGTTCAAACCTGCTTTCACCGCCAACCACGACAATTTTCACCATTCACACCCCTTCATGCTCTACCATCTACATCATCATCATCCTTGTTGTCGCCAACATCACCAGAGCCTTCATCATAAATATCATCATCGTCGTCTTAATTAGGTCATTTAATCAGCCCCAAACTAAATACTATCACCATTATTAGTAGCATTACCATGACTAACTCCACAATCATAATTGTCATAAACAATGGTATCGTCATCACCATATAACTATCATCACGATCATTGTCTTCATCATCATCATCATCATCTTCTTTTTCTTCTTCATCATCATCATTACCGTCAGCATTTTTTTTTCGAAATCCTTGATATCACCAAACCACAACTTGACGTCATCAGCACATCATTATCTTCACATCATCACATTACCATCTTCATCGTCATCATCACATCATCATCATAATGCACAATGGATATGTTGAGTTGATGGTGTCTTCAATTACTGCATTCGGATCAAGAGATCTCGTTAAAAATGAATGAATGCCAGTCATTCTATTTCTATATTTGTATATTTTCTTGCTACGTTTGTGTAATTCTATGTTTGTATTGGTTTGTCTTTATAACTCTATGTTTGTATTATCTTGTATTTGTATGTTTTTTTACTCTAATGTTTGTATTATTTTGTATTTGCATGTTTTTTAAAATTTACGTTTGTATCATTTTGTATGTTCAATTATTTCGTTTGTATGCCTAATATTGTAATCTTGAACATTGTTCTA